GCACAAGCTAGAGTTGATTCAAAACGAAAATTTGCTGGTACAAATTTATTAAGTCCAAGTCATGCTAATAATGATAATAATAATATTATGAATACAAAATGTAATAGTATGAATACAACACCAAATCCAACAGCACCAAATACACCATGTCGAACAATAAATTCAACAATAGCATCATCATCATCATCATCATCAATACGTCCACCAAGTAGTAAACCACGTAGCCGTTCATTAATACGGCGTACATCGAAAAAAGTTAAAAATAAAGAAGATGCTGATGATTGTACTGTTCAATAGGCTAATCTAACGAAAGAAGAAAATATTAATCAACAAAATCATCATTATCATTACCCAAAAAGCATATCGGACAATTCGATCTTAAATATCATATCATCATCATCATCATCATCATCATTTACTTTACTTTATTTTCATTCAATTATCTTATGATTTGTCCATCATTTTTTGTTGTTGTTATCATTGCTGTTGACATAATCATCATCATATTCTTGATTCAAAAATTATACATTCTGTTCTTCATAATTGCTTCTCCCCCCAATGAAAAAAAAATTGTGAGCCCATCATCAAAAAATCATTTATCATTATGATTGATGATATGGGGAAAAAGAAGAATTTTATGTTTTTAAATTCTAATTCTCTCTATATATACTGATAATAATGATGTTATAATGTGTATCAATATTTATGTTTATATACTTGTGTTTGCCTATCTTTCTGATGAATCAATCTTTTTTTTTGTTTTTTTTTTCTCTGGTTATTTTTTTTGCTTACGAATTTCGTTTTTTCTCTTCTTTCTCTCTCTCTCTCACTCAATAAAACACTGAATAAATAAATATTATTTATTGAACATCGCCTACGGGTTAATTTTTGTGTGTGTGTGTGTGTGTGAATTATATATGTGATTTTTTTTTTCTTTTTCATATATTGGATTTATGGGGGGTTGACATTTTCTCATTCATTCAATCATCATCATCATCATTTTGAATCTTGAAAACAAAACAAAACAGAAACAAAAAATCATAAATAATGATGAATGTGATTACATTTTATAATCATATCATATTCGGGAAAAAAGAGATCTTTGACAGAATAATAATAATAATCTCTTGGTGATAATAATGACAGTGGAATCCTTTATCTTCCCTCCCTGAATTGTCGAAAGCAGTGTTTGATGATGGCGGAGGGGAAAAAACAAAACAACAGACCAGAAATTTATTGCTTGTTTGAAAAGTAGTGATTCGCTGTTGATGATAGCGGCAAATTATGGATCATTTTTCACTTTTTTTTCCGTCATTATCGTCGATTGTTTTTGAATTTTTTGAAACGCATTAAACAAATGAAAAAAACAGAAATGATTATGGAGAATTCATCATCAATCGATGATGATGATGAAAAGTATCCAATTTTTACCAAAAAGAATCCGATTTTTGGAAATCATTTTCAAACACAAACGTACCCAGGTAAATTAAATATTTAAAGGGGGGAGCAAAATAAATTGCATCGAATCTGTTTTTCTGTCTAGACCCCAAGCTGCTGCTGCTGTTCGACATTTACACACACACAAACACACAGAAAAAAAAAGATTGGGAAATGATTCCCNTTGGCCAAAAAAGAAAGGAAAAAGTTATTCAAATATTTATGAATAAAAACTAAAAAAAAGTTTTTTGTTATTGAAAGAATATTTATCAAATAACCCTTTAACACCATCATCTTTTTTTTTATTCAAATAAATCGATCAAGCATCACTAATTTATTTTTTTAAAAAAATGTACGTACTTGTTTTATTGTTGATTTAGTTGTCTGTTTTTTTTGATGATGAAAAAAAAAACCTTTTTTTCCTATTTATGCATATTCAGTGTCAAGGAAACTATTGATTTGCACTCTCCTCTCTCTCTCTCTCTCTCTCTCTCTCTCTCTCTCTCTGTGCACATTGAAAGATGTTTTTCGTTATTCGATGTTCGAAGAAGAAATTTGTTTTTTCTCCGGAATCAAATCAATCATTAAACAAATATGTACGTTTTACATGTTGATTTTTGTTTTTTGTTTACGTTTATCAAGAAAAATCCCTTATTTTTTAGGTATAAGGGTTTTTTGTAATAAAATAAAAAAAAAATCAAGAAAAATCTTTTTCACTTTGGAAAGGATGTCAAAAAAACATTTATTTAAAAAGTTTCTTTAAACCTACACCTACACACAACACATAGAGTTTTAAGTTAAAAGTTTTCATTTCTGTTTTTTTTAATCAAATGGAAATGAATTTTGATTAGGAGGGGGCGGATGAAAGAAGTGAGAGCGAAGAGGGTTAAACAAACTTTTTTCTTTTTTGAAGAGGAAAAGAAAAACTATCGATTGTTTGATATATCGATACTTTTCGAATGTCAATGGGAAATGGAATGTTTTTTTTTGTGCTAATCTCAACCCTTTTTTTCCAAAAAGTTTTCTTCAATTAAATAATGATGGCAATGAACTCAATCGAATCAATCATGTTATGTCAAAAAATACATCAAAAGAAAATTAATAATAAAGATTGAACCCGAACTTTGAAGAAGAAGAAGAAAAAAACCTCAAACATACAGGAGACCACCAAGTTGGATTGTTTTTTGTTCGTTTGCTCGCTTGATTATTTGGCTTGTTTTTGCTTGTTTAATCAATGTGTGCGGTATGTTTGTTTTTTTTCTCACTATTTTCAATGGTTAAAATAGCGGCAATATTTTTTCCATCATCCAAAATCAAAATCATCATCATTTTAACTTGTTCCCAAGTTGCCGATTACATATGTTTTTTTTTCTTTCTCTCAATATGTGTGTTGTGACATAGCATCGTTTTTGGTTGTTTTGTTTTTTGAGCAAAAATGATCATTATGGCTTAATAATAATAATTTTTTTCTGGTTTAGATTGGCACGAATCATTTTTTTTTTTGCTGTTTTCAACCATACACATGTTATACAACAACAACAACAAATTTTTGATTGTTGTTGTTGTTGTTGTTGTTTTTTTTTGATTTCAATTAGCTCCGGAATAAAACAATTGAAAGTTTAGTGAAAGTTTTTGTTCTCTTGTTGTTGTTGTTTAGAAATTAAAAAAACTTATGAATAATGTTCATCATCATCATCTAATGATGGTCATTATTAAAACTAATTGTAATTAATTTCATAAAATTTTAAATTTCATAATTTTTTTGGTTGTTTGGACAACCAAAATACTCACTTAAATGTTGTCCTATTTTTTTTTAACTCTTTCCCTCCCCCCGATCTCTCTCGTTTCCATTTCAGTATAATTATCGTTTCATGACCATCATCATCATCATCATCATTTAAAAAGGATGTTTTCGAGACTAATTGATTATGACATTTATTTATTTCAACTATTTCAACATTTGTAATCAAAAGAAGAAAAAAAAGTAATTTCTCAAATTCTGAGAAACAAAAACAAACAAACAAGCAAACATCCATAGACAGACAGACGGACAGATTTGGTGAGAGAGAGAGAAAAAAAAGGGTTAAATAATAATAATCTAACCAGAATCCAAAAACGAAAAACAGACCAACAGAGAAAACCAAACCAAAAATATAAATCTCTGGTTTTTTTGCTTGTCATCATCAAATTCAAAAAAAAAAGAAAGAAAGATTCATTAATATAATGAAAAATGAAAAAATAAACCCAAAAACAAGGCTGGCTGACTGGTTAATTAGATGGATGGATGGCTGGCTGGATGATTATCCGCATCATTTTTTGTTTGTTTGTTTGTTGATTGTCACATTTGAAATTTTTTTCTTTTTTGTTTTGTTTGGGCAATGAAAAAAATATTGTCTGTACCGAATTTGTTTTTTTTTTCGTCTACTTTTTTTAAAAAAAATACCCGAAATTTCCGCATTTTTTCCCCAATCCAGAAAACAAGATTTATTACCTTAGTTCATCGACATTATCCGATGTTTGAAAGTCAGAAAAAACGAACAAAAACCAAAAAACCAAACCAAACTGAAATGAACAGGGTCGACAACCGGTCATAATACATTTTTTTCTGGTTTAGATTTCTTCAATTTTTTCAGAAATTTTCAATGTTTTACACACACACACAGAACAGAACAGGTAGCCTGTATACAAACTTTGTTTTTAACCGTTTCTTACGTAATTTTTATATGTTCAGTTATGTTCAGACAACAAAAAAAAAACAAATTGTTTCAAATTAGAATCGGAAGTTTTTTTTTAATTACCTAAAACTACCTGCTTTTTTTGTTGCTAAAATGAATTCATTTTATTCAAATTACCTGGCTTTAAAAAAAACCAAATGAGAAAAAACGGTAAAAAAACAAACATTTGAAATCTTAACGAAAAACAAATGACAAAACGAAACGAAAGAAATGAAAAGAAACAGGTCAAACGGAAATAATAATGTCTATGTTTTTTTTTTGACAATAAAAAAAAGCAATATTGATCATTAATGATGATGATGATGATGATAAACGATTGTTTTGTGTGCGGCACTTTTTTCTCTATTCATCATCATTATTATTTGTTCAAAATTAATAAAAAAATGATATAATTGATTTATGCGGTAAGTGTGTGTTTTTATGTTTCATTTGATTGCACACACTGACATATCGAATATCGTAATCAATTGTGACTACACCGACCGGTTATGAGGGAGAAAGAAGGCGGCTTTTTTTTAATCATTATCGTTAAAAGATGTTTTTTTTTCTTTATTAAATCCAAATAAGCAATAAACGTAAACGAACGTAAATGATATCATCGTCATCCTGTATCAAATCAAGATCAACAAAAAAAAAAAA